CGGAAAGAATAGACCAATTTTATTAAGAAAGGACTTGTGTCGCTAAAGTTTCGTGGGAACGAAGTTACGGAAAATCAGCTAACGAACGGAGACGTAACACGCATATATTGAGGCTCCAATCTGTAGTTTCTGAAACGTTATTAAGTCTATCCTGATTCAAACGCATATACTGAGAATCCAATCTGTAGCTTTTGAAACGTTATTAAGCTTGATTCAAATGCATATATCTAGAATCTGTAATTTCTGAATGGCCCGATATGGCCAGGTGGTTAGGGTACTCGACTCGTAATCTGCGGGTCGCGGGTTTGAATCCCCGTCACACCAAACATGCTCAACCTTTCAGCCGTGGGGGCGTTATAATGTGACGGTCAATCCCACTATTCGTTGGTAAAAGAGTAGCCCAAGAGTTGCCGGTGGGTGGCCTTCCCTCTAGTCTTACACTGCTAAATTAGGGACGGCTAGCGCAGATAGCCCTCGTGTAGCTTTGCGCGAAATTTAAAACAAACAATTTCTAAAACGTTATTAAGCCTGATTCAAACGTATATACTGAGGCTCCAACCTGTAGCTTCTGAAACGTTGTTAAAGCCTGATTCAAATGCATATAATATACTAAGATCCCAATATTCCAGTCTGTAACCTCTGAAACGTTATTCTAAATGCCTGTCAGAGAATCACAATCATCTCAACCTAAAAATAGCTTCCCTTTTTTCAAACTTTTAATAATCTGTGTATTTATGCTCAAGTTCTAAGAGAAATTAAAAACACTGCACAAGAAATTGTTTAATGTTTGGTTAAAATTCCAAGTCTTAAAACATCAAGAAAGGTTTGAAGAAAGTTGTTTACAAAATATAACTTATCGAAGAGAAAAAATAAATCCAAGTTAGTATTTCTCAAGGACGTTTAGACCTTGAAAAGAATGTGTTTTAAACGCCAGACGTTTTTCTTTAAAAAATCATAAGAATTAAGTAGTGATTTTGCGTTCCACATCTCCTATTAATTCCTAGAAATCCTCAGTTCACGAAGCATGAAACATATTTGTATACCTTTACTTAGGAAAGTAGAAATATGGAAAATAAAAGTATTTAAAATCCGAAATCTAACACTTGTCACAGTTTTGTATTGATCTCAGTATCTCGAACAAGCTGTGTGGTTAAACTTTTATTTACTGTACATTTTTTACTTGTACTTTTCGTATCGTTCTAAAGATCCTGGATAAGCTACTTTATAACTCGCTAATCTACTGTAAACTTTTATTTTTTGTATCTTTCACCATATCCTGAACCAAGATGCTTCCTAAAATGTTTATCTATTGTAAATTATAGATTGTGTATCGTTCATTTTTCACAAGGCATAAAGGAAACATTTTATTTTATACGTTTTGTTCTTTTAAGAGTACTACTCTATTTGTAGAGTATAAATGGGTATTCTATTCTTTTCAGAGTATTACCGGGTATCGGTTCTCATTTCCAAAGACAATACTTACCTGCTTCGCTGTCCTTCTCTCTGGAGGAACTTTGTTGATTCTAATGTCATGGAAACCAAGCATCAGGATAAAGATGACCCACAGCTTATGTCCTTTTAAGCAAGCAGAAAAGGTCGTCTTAATAGTAAGGAAGTATTTAATTCATTCTAACAATTTAGGAGTAATAATGTTTGTTATTTTTCTATTCTTTGCGCCACTGTTTACGGGTAATGCAATCTCATTAATATCAGTTTTTGTTAATTTCGCCAAGACTCGTTGATTGCATGTTAAGTCAACTATCAGTGAAACGGGTAGATCTCACGTGTAACGGTCAGTTTGTAGAAATTGTTCGTACTTATTATTCAACAAATATTCTTCAGCTAAATTCATTAGTTTGGAGAGGCTATTGACTTGCACGTGTTTCAAGGTGTCTGTATATTTCTAATTGCATTTCGAAAAACGTATTTCAAAGTCTGTCGGTTTCCATTTATTTTGATATATCTGCTATAAATATCCCGAATGACCACTATTGGTGGAGAGAAGTTATTATGTAAAGAAGTTAAATTGGTGCTTTTTTCTTTTCATTCATTCAAAAACTCGCCTCTCTTATAGTTTGTGACTAAATCAAGCATTTATATAAATATTTTTAGTATTATGATGCATCAATCTCAAGTAATAGGTTTATTAACTATTCCCAAACTGATAGAGAAGTTTTACAATGAAATACTTATCCAAATCTTATACTAAGTAACATGAGTTCTACCTCATGTATATATAATTACATCTGTTGCTACATTACTCATTTATTAATCATTATAAAATCCAGACATTAATATATGCTGTATTAACTCAGACATTTAAGTTTAACCGACTAAAACTGATCATGAACCTCACTAGTATTACACTAAGTAACCAATGTAAATCTGACCTAGCTAAAGGACTTAATTTCTCTCTTCCTCCGCGAAAACTGAATTATGCCAATTTTCTTTATCCATTCGAACTGCTATACAGAAACCTGAAAGACCTTCCTATGTACGATAAAGGCAATCTTAATCAATCCCATGATTCTTTTATTACTAAATTAAAAAATCTTGCTCTGTCTACATTTTATAATTTTAATAGTAAGAGAGAACCTAACCCTCTAATCCCTGACGAAATCTTAGCCTTCAAGTAATTGTCACTAAATAAAAACATCCATGTTACACGCCCTGATAAAGGCAATGACTACCTTAATAAAATACATGATATTCTGGACGATTCTACAAAATTTAAAACCTTAAACAATGACCCTTTATCTCTTAGCATCCAACGTGAGGAAAAAATCCAAAGGTACCTAAGAGAACTAAAGAACAAAAATATTATATCTGAAAATGTTGCTTCTTCAAAGTTCAGATATATATATATTAATAGTTTCATTTAGAGGAATGTTATTACGTGAAAGCTCAGATGTACATATATTAATAGTTTCATTTAGAGGAATATTTGTAAAGAGGGAGGTAACATCAAAGCTCGCCACGAAGAGATTATCTGAGGGGGGTAGTTGACTTAGTTCATGTTCAAAGTGGAAGGAATCCGGGATAGTATATTCATTAGTAGTGAGTGGCTGAAGTATAGGTACTAAACATCTAGCAAGTTTGTAACTAGGTGTGCCTATAGTGGAAAGAATGGGTCGGAAGGGGGACCTGCTTTATGAATTTTGGGAAGGCCATATAACATACCAGGACGGGAGCCAGTGGGATAAAGTCATTTAGAGGGATGTTATTACGTGAAACTATTAATATATGTATATCTGAGCTTTCACGTAATAACATCCCTCTAAATGAAACTATTAATATATGTATATCTGAGCTTTCAAGTAATAACATCCCTCTAAATGAAACTATTAATATATGTATATCTGAGCTTTCACGTAATAACACCCCTCTAAATGAAACTATTAATATATGTATATCTGAACTTTCACGTAATAACATCCCTCTAAATGAAACTATTAATATATGTATATCTGAACTTTCACGTAATAACATCTCTCTAAATGAAACTATTAATATATGTATATCTGAGCTTTCACGTAATAACATCCCTCTAAATGAAACTATTAATATATGTATATCTGAGCTTTCACGTAATAACATCCCTCTAAATGTCTTTTCTGAA